TAGATAGATAGATAGATAGATAGATAGATAGATAGATAGATAGATAGATAGATAGATAGATTTAGCTGTACACAAGAGGGCTACATAGAGCAATTTTGGGTTGTTGGACCACTTCAGTGGGTGAAACCCCATATTGTTTGTGTGTAAAACACATTGGTTTTCCCTTGATGCTGAATTCTGATTTATGCAGCCTGATAACAGGTTTACACTTTGAAGATCAACACTCACATCTTACTTGATCCGATTGCAATTCTGCAAAGTGGTAAAGTTTAGTAGCATTTCCTCAACCTCGGTTTTGGACAATCCTTCTTCCAGCTGGTTATGCCTCTTTAAATCATTCAGCTTGCTCCGTATAGGGGAAGAAAGTAAAGTAAAAGCTGCTGAACCGAGCGGTGATCCTGAATGCCAGTCCCGATTGCTTTCCTTGGAGTGTCCCCCCCTCCTCCTATCACATCCTAGACACTGGAAAACAAATCCAGATTTTTCATTTTATTGCTCTGCTGTGCTCCACTTTCTGGAAGGGATGAATGCACTTTTTCAACCTCTTGGAGTTCTCTGCCTCTTGTCCTCAGCCATCCAGATATATTTATCATTTCTATTCAAACTTGATCAAACCAGTGAGACAACTGTTCGGCTAAATTGATCTGGGAAATTGACTGGTTAGAGGCAGGAATATGACCCACTTCTCTTCCTTCTGTGCTTGCTGCCCTCTTTCTAAGACAGTCTTGTTGATTTCAAGCCATTCTGAATGCACAGAATGTTGATTTCAAACAATTCTGAGTGCTTATATATGGGGACGAGGGATAACTTTTGCCCAAATATGGAGAGAAGAGAGACCTCTTAAAATCAGTGTGAACCATGGCCTTCTTGTTTTGGCTTCCCAGGCTTTTTCTGAGAACTGCCAACTGACCACAAGAATTCTCCCAACACTTTAGTATCTTATTAATCTCTACAGCACCATAAAACAAAACAAATACATACTTATCTGATACTGCACAATAAAATATGGGGCTTATTGCAGCCCAAATGGTCTGGGTATTTACTGAAAAGTCTCACGTAGGGAAGCACAATAACAATGCTGAATAATAGCATTATATTACATGTTTGGGGGTGTGATCAGACCATTGCAACGGTGTACCCTTAAAGCAACTCTTCTCTCTGCCGTGGAATCACTCCAGTGTGGGCCCCAAAAGTAGAAACCCTACAGTTGGATCAAAAAGGTCAAGCATGGGCACAGATTAGGGTTGGGATGGAACATATTATACTGTGCACCATGTGATCACTGAGAAATGGATCATACCAGGCCATTCCACAAGCTATCCAAGTTGTAATGTATTTCCCTTGGTTTGTGACCCAAATGATCTATACTGCCAGTTGGTATAAGATCGCTGTGAGCTCTCATGGTCAAGATGTCATTTTCATGTCAGAATTAAAGAATAAAGAAAGCTAAATCACATAGTGTACCACTTCAAAAATCCATGCTTGGCTTGCATATCACCCTATGCTCCTCCCTTTGTTGAAGGGTAAGGCAGCCATGATGCGGTCATCAGTAACAATTAAATAATGAGTGTTCCCATTGATTCTTCAGCCATTTATTTCCACTGCTATCATTGTTGTCATTCATACCTCCAATTGGCATGGATACCTTGTCTCCTGCCTCCTGTTGGTTTGCCAGGACCTTCATGTGCATCATAGAAAGATGTTTGTATAATTCCAATGGGAGAACCATAGAACAATTGAGTTGGAAGGGGCCTATAAGGCCATCAAGTCCAATCTTCTGCTCAATGCAGGAATCCAGATCAAAGAGGATTTGATAAATGGTTGTCCTACTGTATTTTCTCTTCAATGTTTCCACTTTTGGAATGTTCACCACCTCCTAAGGTAACTGGTTCAATTTTCGTATTGCTCTAACAGTTAAGGTGTAGCCCAAATCTGGATTTTTGTAACTTGAATTCATTATTATGTGTCCTGCACTCTGCATGATTGAGAACAGATCCTGTCGTTCCTTGTTGGCATCCATTTTAAAATGTGGTGTCCAGAATTGGGCACAGTACCCTATAGATGGGGCCTAACCAGTGCTGAATAGAGTGGGACTAGTACTATATGGGATTTGGACACACGACTTCTGTTAATGCAGCCTAAAGTAGCATTTGCCTTTTTTGCAGCCACATCGCACTGTTGGCTTATATTCATCTTGTGATATACAACAATTCCAAGATTCTTCTTACTTGTAGTATTACTGAGCCAAGTATGGCTCATCTTGTAACCATGTGTTTGGTTTTTTCTCCCTTAGGTGTAGAACTTTGCACTTATTCCTTTAAATTTCATTCTCTTGTTTTCAGCCCAGTGTAGTTTCCTGGTTCCCTCTTTCTGCCCTTTTTGAAGACAGGGGCAACGTTAGTCCTCCTCCAATCACACTTCACCCATCCTCCATAATTTCAAGAAAATTATAGACAGTGGTTCTGAGATCTCATCAGCCAGTTCCTTCAATATCTTTGGATGTAGTTCATTTGGTGCTGAGAATTTGAACTCATTCAAAGTAATAAAGTATTCCTTAACTATTTGTTCATCACTCTCAAGCTGCAATCCTATTTCCTCCCTTTGTACTTCCCATTTGAACAAAGAATGGGAAAACACTGTCACATTCAAGTGTGTTTTTTTTTCCTGTACATGATGTGTCAACAAAATAAAAATTTAAGCAAAGGAAGGCAGGACTGTCATGGAAGAGATTAAAATTTGGTCTTAGTCGGAATCCACCATGTATCATGGAAATGGAAACAATAAATAAACTAGCCCCCAATAGGCCATTAGGTGATGCAGAAACAGTGCACAAAAACAGGACAAATGCACCAGGGGTTGCTTGCTTGCTTGCTTGCATGTGTATGTGTATGTTGTGAAGAAGTATGTGGGAAGATTGTAGTGTGAAGGAACCTCCCCCCATGAGTTAAACTTGAAGCCCAAACTGCAGTCAGTAAACTGGTGGGAAGCCCTGTTACTGCTATCAATCAATCACAATTGTTATTATGGTTAGACTTCCACTCAAACAAAAGGCAGAAGTGGCTGATCACAAGCCATGTTGCGTACAGAAAAAGTTATGCTTGGGGGCGAGGAAGAGGGGCCTAGTTGGTGAGCTTTACTGTGAAGAGCACTCTGAGGAGAAACACAAAAACACATCGAGTAGTGTGCAAGGCGGGAGGAAGGACTAGTGGACTAGGATGGAGGGCAACACATTGAGGGGAGGCACCCTGGCAGTGTAGTCATGAGCTATCTATCGTAGTTTGGATTCTAATTAGTTGACACACAACATAAAACAAAAATAGGAAGTATGCCATTTGGATGGATACTACACTTTGAATCTCATTGCTAGGTGGCCAGGCATGACAACAGATAGTGAGTAAGAGTCTGTTACCTCACTTTGGAGCTTAATCCTAATAAGGTCCCATCATGTTCTCAGGTTCTGCTGGCAGAGGATCTAACAGTTGTGGGAGGTGTGGAAGGTACAATATGTATCTGCTACTTCTCAGACAGATTTAGTGGCAAATCATTTTACTATTGGTGGAACAGTGGAAACAGGGGAGAGTAGGGATGCTCCAGGGAAGAGAATGCTAATATTTTTAATTCTGCTATTCTTATACAGATAGCAACATTTTATGCTAGGGAGGAGCTTGCAGACATTGGAGAGGACCACATTGAACAAAGTTAGGGTTGACTTTCATAATGGAATCAGGTGTTTATAAATTCTTCCCCATGTTAATTAATTGTGTTTAAAAGAAATGTAACCAGGTGATCTACAAACAATTTTTTTTAAAATAAAAGCAGCATTGGAGTACTTCTTTATTAAACTACTAAAATATCATTCAAAAGTGAACATTCAAGAATTCCTCATCAGGACAGGTGATGCAAAACTTTGATGGAGGAAAAGCAGAAAAGTTCAAAGATCATACTGTTTGCATGCTATGTTCATAGGATCTGTAGTTACTAACCTTCCAAAATGGAGGCTGTAAGTATGTGGAATTAGCTTCTTCAGAAGGTGGTGATATCAGTTTAGGCCTAAAGACATGTAGATTCTCATTTCTATCTCATCTCCGGAGATAACTAATCCTTTTGTGGAGAGGCAGGTAGAGAACTGGTTCTCTACCAAAACTCCCATCCTAATTAAGAGTTCAGAAGGTGCTGAAAACTCATCCCTTTAAAGATATATCCATGGTCCAATGAAAAGTATTTTTCTTCAACTTCATTAATTTCATTAAAAAAAAAAAAGAAAGTAGTTGTGTTATTCAGGAATAAATTAAAAAGCAGAGTTGAGAAATACTTTTTATGGACAACATAACAAATATTACAAATAACATTTGTAAATACATTTGTAACAAATGTTGTTACAAATAACATTTGTAAATACATTTGTAACAAATGTTGTTACAAATAACAAATATTATTATTTAAGTCTAATAACTGCATGCTATCAAGTCAATTCTGACTGATGGTGACCCTTCTCAGAGGTTTCTAAAGGTAAAGGTAAAGGTTCCCCTTGACAATTTTTGTCCAGTTGTGTCCGACTCTAGGGGGCGGCGCTCATCCCGCTCTTCAAGCCATAGAGCCAGCGTTTTGTCCGAAGACAATCTTTCCGTGGTCACATGGCCAGTGTGATTTAGACACGGAACGCTGTTTACCTTCCCACCGAGGTGGTCCCTATTTATCTACTCGCATTTGCATGCTTTCGAACCGCTAGGTTGGCGGGAGCTGGGACAAGCGACGGGTGCTCATTCCGTTGCGTGGATTCGATCTTACGACTGCCGGATCTTCTGACCCTGCAGCACAGGCTTCTGC